TCAGCAAAATAGCTCTTATGCCACCCAACAAACAATTCAAAGTCACAAATAAGCATATATATTGAATAAATGCTGTATAACAGCGTACAATGCTGAATAAAAAGAGTTGTCGAATTATGTGCTGAAAAAGCTCATTGTTCCACTGTTTGCTCTGATCTGATTAATTTACTTATTAAAAGCTGTAAAAGTGTTAAATGTCTTCCCAATTCAACGTCAGAAGTTCGATCTAATAACAAACTGAATAAGTGTAATTTGTACATACATTGACACTTTAATTCGACTGATTTAATAACATGCTTTATTAGACGTCTAATAAATGTTCTCCAGCTCCTTTATTAGATTTCATTGCATTACTTTACAATATTGCTGATTAAAGGTGAATACAGTCAGCATAATAGCTCTTATACCACTATGCGTCCATGTTGTAATCACATGATTTGTAAATGCTTTATAAACGACGTATTAGATTCATTATTCGACAACACTGATTCAGTCTTACAACAAGGCGAAATCAGTAGAGTAGTGGTTACCGTTTCCGCTTTCCAATTAGAAGGTCGTGAGTTCAATCCCAAGCTCAACCCTTTTTTTATTTGTGTTCTACGTCTAATTAATTTAAATAGTAATCATCGATCACATGACTCACGATAATGAATGCATTTATCTAGTTTAAAAAATAACCGAGCATTCCTTCCTTGGGATTGGACTGGTGAAGAGGTAACATTGGTCTCATGTTAAACAACGATGAATGAATTAATCATTCCCACAGGGCCTTGAAGGAGCTAGAGTTGCGATCGGGAGTGCTGATAGGTATTTACTTTCAAGCGAGCTTTTATTGATTATTGAGTTGCCCATATGATGAATTATAGGATAGCTCAGATGACAAGGCAAGCGGCTGGTGATCGGATGGTTCATGGTTCGAATCCCATACAACGACATGTATGTATTTAATAAATTTTCTAATATCGTGTGGTGCGAGCCACGTCAGAAATAATGAATACAATTACACACTTAAGAAACACACCCTTCCCTGTCCCCGTCCCTCTTATTTTTGGGTTAATTTTCTCAGTCGAAAAATCGTTTAATAAATGTATAATAATGTCTAATTAAACGTTACTTCACATGAGAATCAAGCGTATACAGAGCATCACTGTTTTAAGGAAGCAGTGATGTCTAATAAACGCTGAATAATCAAAAATTTTATCGTATAAGCTATGTTACAACTCATATAAGTCGAATAAAAGCTTCTCGACATACCTTATACAACACCAGTAGTTCAATGTTGTGGTTGAATAAATTCTCCAGATTTGTGTGAACAAAGCCTGAACATTATTATTAAAAATAGTACAAGTACTATTAAACATGCAGTTGAATAAAATGGCCAAGACGTCGTTTCTTCAATAGACGATTGTTTGTTGGGGAACTTTCCCGAAGATCTGTGAGTTTTGCTGAAGTTTTGCAAATTTTTCTAAAAACGTACGAACTTTCTGACGTTTTACAGACTTCTTTTAATGTCTACGGACTTCTCTTAAGGTCTACGGACTTTTCTGAAGTTCTTTAGATCTATCTATTTCCGACTTTCATGGAGTTCTGCAAAATATTGTACTTAGGTACTTCGTTGCGATTTGTTTTTGGAATTGAGGTGCTTTACTGACATGTAACGAATTTTTCTCATGATCACACATTTGTGAGAAACTGTGAAACTTTCTGTCAAATTCCTGCAAATATTTTTAAAGTTCTGTAAAGTTGTCTTAAGCTCCGTAGCTTAAAAACTTGAGGCTCAATAAATTTCTCAGTAGATCCGCAAACTTCTCTGATGTTACCCTGAAGATTTAAAAATTTCCTTGAAGATTACCTAAAGTTGTCAAAATTTATCTGAAAATATTTGAGCTTCTTTGAAGTTTTAAATGTCTCTCTCAAGATCTACGAATTTTCCTGAAATTGTGTAAATATTTTTTTTTTAAATCGCCGAACTTCGCTGAAGTTCTGCAATTTTTACTGAAGATCCATTAACATTTCTGATATTCTTGTGATTTTTTCAGATGTCCTGTAATTTTTTCTAAGTTCTGTAGCTTTGTTCTGAAGATCTACGAGCTTTTCTGATGTTGAATAATGTTTCGAGGATCTCCAAACTTCTGTGAAATACTTTATATTTCACTGTAGATTCTTGAACTTGTCTGAAGTTATGCGAATTTCCCTGAATTTGCAAAATTTCGCTTATAGTTTTACAAATTGATTTGAAATTATTTTTGCTTGCTTGAAGTTTTGAAAATTTCTATGAACATTTATCTGAAGATCTACGACCTCTCTTGTGATTTTGTTTTTATGAATTTCTGTTAATTACTTTTAATTTGTTTGTAGTTCTGTTCTCAAGATTTACGAACTACCCTGAAGCTCAACAAATTTCTCAGTAGATCTCCGAACCTCTCTGAAGCCCAAAAAAAAAATTTCTATGTAGACTCTCAGACCTGCTGCCTGGCATGCTTATTCTTATACAATACATGCTTCGTATGCTTCCTTTTGACGGTTGCCAGTCTCTCTTTTTCGGCTGTTTCCTTTTTACGACGATTTTGATCCTCCACATACAAATCAGCGAAGAGCGAGCGTGACAAGACTCTCTTAATGAACTTGTCTCGTTCGCACACGTTTTCTTAGCTATCAGATGCTTGTCAAGTTCAGTGTCCTTAAGAAACGTTTCGAGAAACTGAACGAAAAACTTCTTTTGAATTACGAATGAAGTGATAATTGGAAAATTCCCTGAGTGGAACCAAAATTCTCTGAATATTCCAGGTTTTCCAGAAAAAAATAAAATTCCCTGTAAATTCCCGGTTTTTCCAGGTAGTAGACACCCTGATGATCCAATACGGTTCATGTCTGCCCGTTTCAATGAATTCTATGTTTTTTTTTCGATTTCAACTGCACAGTGGAAACATTTCGTCAGCGGATTCAACGATACGGTTCGACACATGCAACTGCTTTCAATCAGCAAATTGTTGCAAGACGGTGAGTAGCTGTCCATTAATGTACATCTGATGAATTTGGCTACCTGTTTCTTTTTTTGTTCCCGATCAACTCTGCGATGACGGCCTCGACTGATCCAAGGATAACTCCATGCCATAGGACGAGGTATTATTATTATTATTCGGTGTTTTCTGTCCTTTTTATATTGTTCCTTGTATTTTGAAAAGATATGGGGTTTTTACGCCTATTTGCGCAAATATTTGCCAAATAGGCTTTTCCCCATCAATCTTCATTTAGACAACAAAAGTCCGATGAAGAGAATAATAAATAGACTGGAGTCGCTTTTTACGCGGTTTTTTTTACACGGTTTTTTTACGCGGTTTTTTTCTACGCGAATTTTGGAATTTACGCGGTTTTTTTTTACGCGGATTCCGGAATTTACGCGGTTTTTTTTATGCGGATTTTGGTTTTTTTTACACGGATATCAGAATTTACGCGGTTTATCAATATACACTAGAGTCGCTTTTTACGCGGTTTTTTTACACGGTCTTTTTTTACGCGGTTTTTTTTTTTACGCGGGTTTCGGAATTTACGCGGTTTTTTTACGCGAATTCCGGAATTTACGCGGTTTTTTTTACGCGGGACGTATCACCCGCGTAAAAAGCGACTCCAGTGTAAATAAATAAATAGTTCGTCAGTAGATGATGTTAGCTTGCGCGTGAAACAACACACTCAATTGGACATTCATTTGCAGTCGGGTTATTCGTGAAAGAGAATCGATCAACAATGATGGGCCTTTTTCTCATGTTCTGCGAGATGTGTTCTAAATTTTTCTGGAAGTCCATAAAGGTGTTACTAGAACTTCTCCAAATATTCCATGAAGTTTTCTACAAATTTTCTCAACCTCTTATTCTTCTTACCTAAGCATCACATTCCCAAGATGTTCAGAGAAGTTCAGAAATATTATTGCAGGTTCTGCAAAGTTCAGAAACCGCCACATGGTTTAGGAAGTGCAGTTCTTCAAAGTTCCGAAAATGTTTGAGAAATTTAAGATGCAATCCGAGAGCTTCAGACTTTTGGTAATTTCTGAAAAAATAGAAGATGTTCGATGTTAGGAATCGGTGAACAGGGAATCTAAAATAAAGTTCAACGACTTCGTTTGGCAACTTCATAAAAAAAAATTTGAAGAAAACGTAGAGGAACGGAATTAAATCTCGATTACTTTTTCGAAGGGACTTATCAGTTTTTATAAACAATGCAGGAAATATTCTCGCACCTAATGTGGTGTTGGTATGCATGGGAGAGCTACCAGTTACGCCAAACCGACGATCAAATGTATTGTTTACAAAAGCTGATACGTCCCTTCGAAAAAATAATCGAGAAATAACCTTTTTTCGGTCCCAACAACCACACTATTTGTCAGTAGATTTGAGGCAACTGAATACGAATTAGCAGATTTCTATCATTTTTTAGATAACAGTATATTGCGGTTGTGCAACATAGATTATATATCCGAACGTCGTTGCACCAAGGATGATGGTTTAGATTATTTTTTTTAAGGAATGTCATGCGTTATGTTTTTATCAAACCACTCTTGAAGATTATTCTACAAACTCCAATTACAGGTCTCTTTCTAATCAAGAAGCCCCTGATTGTAACATTTTCCAGAACTTATATTTCTGGTTCCATTGTAGTAAAACTTTTGCCCAATAAAATCACCAACTACGCCATCACTTCAAACGAAACGAAGCCATCGAAAATCGTAGAAAACCAACTTTATGCTACATTATGCTGAATGCTGCAAAGCCACACTAAACGGCCCATTACAATTGTTCTAGGAAAACCTTCCACCCGAGTCAGTTTCGCTGGTTTCACCCAAGTTCCTCCAGACCAGGGCAATGACTGGTAGGACGGTGTGTGCCATGTTTACGGCCCAATTTACCATCCCGATGTGAATTTACGCTAGCAGCTAGCTCGCAGTCTCGATTCAACATCATCAAGTTAGTATAATATTAATGTTTGTGTTTGTGCTTTCGTCTCACCGCTGCTACGCTGCTCTGGCTATTGGCTGCCGTCACACCACTACTGCTACTGTTACTGTTGCTGCTGCTGCTGCTGCTGCTACTACTGCCGTTGCCTGATGATGTTAGAGAGCTGCTGTTTGCCGTTTTTGCTGTTGCTTCCGGAATCCGGAATGACGTTCAACTTTTAAAACACAACCTCACTTGCCAAAAACTGATTCCATCAAATCTCTGACCACCCGTGTACCTTGCACCAAATCCAAAACAAAGCGAATTCGCACTCGTTTAATTTTTGGCAGATAAACACCACTTGCTTCCGTCACTTTTCGATGGTTGGATTTTTTTTCGCTTGCTAAGCTGAAATTTGACAGCTCGTAACCGTACACACGCAGAGAAGACGAAACTCACCTCGTTTTCACTTTCTGGAACCTAATCCTGGCAGATTCGCCTGCTGCTTACTCGCTTTCCTGTTGCCGCTATCTCCTCCGATTTCCAAAAAAACGCCTTCAATCTTCTTCTTTCTTCCTTTGCGATCTTCACCAATGTTATCCTTTCAGTATGACCAAACTAGGCCATTAACCAAACAACGCAGAAAAAATAAATCGCTGATTAAAAATCACACAAAATAGAAAGATTCCTTATCTATCAAATTTATAGCCATCGCTTCTTTTGATTCTTCCTTTCCTCCTGCACACTTTTTTTTTATATTATTTCACTGACTTTTTGCTTCTTTCTTCACTGTGCAATCTTCTCCAACTTTAATCTTCTTCTTACCGTATTTTCTTCGACTTCTTGTTATTCTTCTTCTACTTGTTGTTATTTTTATTACTACTACTGCCACCGTCGGCGATGGCTGTCTGTTCGCTTTTCGTTCACTCGTGTGGCATTATTTTACCGCTGGTTTCTTCTAACACATGCACTCATACAACAAAGTGAACAGCAACAACAACAACAAACCGCCGTGCACTGGCTCCGTGTTTGACACCTCTGCCAAGACTGAGCTGCGGACAACGAAGAGATGAGCAAGCGTTGCCAGATTCCGTCAGTCAGTCCGTCCGCCCGACTGTTCAGGTAGAAGCCGACTGTTGTGTTGTTGTTTTTGTTGGGTTATGGAAAAAAGGAAAGAAAAAGAAAGGAAAGAAAAAAACATACAGTTAGGTTGGGATTGCAAAAGAAGTTGTCGAAGTAAATGATATCTACCTGGATATATTTTTGTGTTTGGACAAATTGTACATCAGGTAAATATTTTTTTTTCTCTATAGATTATGCTTTTAATGTGAATACCGCTAAAGGGAAAAATTGGCAATAATTATTATCGCAGTGGTTGGCATGAAAGTGGGTTTGGGTGGAAGATTTTTAAATATGATAAAATAATATTGTCTAATTACTTAAAATTAGCGTTCGTCAGCATGTGCAAATGAATGACCTAGTTAATAAATTTTAATTTCTTTGCTCATCGGCACGAGTAAAATCAAGATTGATTATTGGTACAATTGCTTGTTTGCCCTTTCTGACCATTAATCAGGAGCAGGATGACTAAACTGAGTTTAAATCCAGGTTTCCCATACTATAACGCAACCTCTAAGCCTTCATCAATCATTCCCATTTTGTATTTTAGGGTTATGATTCGAACTGGAGGGTGGCCTATCAGAAATTCATCACTTTTTTTTTCAAAATTAATGCAGCTGCTGAGTATCACCGACTTCTAAATAGCGCCGCTTCTTCGGCACGATTCCGGTTGACGAAAGTACGACAGGAAAAATCTTCGGGACCTTCACCAATCCACACAATTCAACTTCAACTGATATTTGGCGATTTTATGAAAGTGTTTTTTTTTTCAGCGATGCCAATGATGACGAGCTTCTTAACACCTTTGTCGTAAACCATAACGTATGGACGGTTGTGGTTAATGAAGAGATCCGTCAGTACGATTGCGGTCCTAGTACAGATAATACGGTAAGGGGACAAGATCGGGGCGGTACCGGTAGTTTGGCACAAATTCCTCCAAAAGACCCATTGTAACGCCAACTGTTGGTGCACAATCATGGAGACTTCGTTGTGGCGCTATATGTAGATGAATACTGGACAACCTGTTGTAATTTGGTCAATGGTTTTCGGTGCTTTATGACACATCTAGCAAATGTCCTCAACGTTTTGGTGCCAAACATACCACCAACATAACCCTATCATGGATGGATATCATACCGGCTTCGATCACTGGCGAGAGTAGTTCACCTCGGGTTAGCCACATGTTTGATGAGGGTTTGTCTATGTTCGGTTGTTCTAGTTGATGGGAGTGGGCTCCGTGCACTGCCTTCTGCTTCCTTGCTGCAATATTCCCATCTACTGTCATTAGATTGTGCACCATCGCGCTGCTCGATAGACTCCGTATCGCATGGTGTGCTATACGAAGTACTACCTCAGTTGTCCCATTCGTGAATTTGTTTCTACTCTATGGCCTCTAATGGACGGGACCACGTAGTTTTGGTATTTTTCGCGAAATTTACTGACCAAAGTAGAAAACTTTTCCGGTTCATTGTGAAGTCATGGTACTTGACAATCGATTTCAATGTATAACTCATTTTCGCCAAAAATGCTAATGGGACTGTTATGCCGCACCTGGTTAGCTTGAATTTAGATTAGGGTGTTCCCCTCTTTTCCCGTGGTAATGTGAATCTCTCCAGTGTCGATTGAGGATGGCGCATAGCGACTTCTTGGAACGCGTTGCGCATCTCCTCTCAAGGTCTTCTAGGACAGTTTTTGTTTGTTTATTAATTTATTTGATAAGGCTCAATCGAATTACCTGTACAGAGCAGAAGATTTTCATTCACTATACAAAAACATCTTTAAACTATAGTCAAAAGGTACAACACAGTAAACACTTTCCGCTGTCCAATAAGCCGCCTTCATCAGAACGGGAGCCGCTTCCAGTGGTTTCATTGTATGAAAGTATCACCAACGGGTGGCAAAGCGCTTCCATTTATTTATTTATTTGGAGGGAAAAGCCCACACTAGTGGGCGCAAAACCTCATCATTTCAGTACCAAGAGATAACATGGAATCCTACAGATATATTTGCTTGAACTAAGTTCTAAGCATATAAAAAGATATTAATGATAACACAATTAACTTAATTTAAATACAGAAAACAGAAACCGTCAGTAAGTTAAAAGTACATTATAAAACAGATTCTTAAGCCTAACACGGGAGATATTAAAATCAAAGCAGTTATACCATTTGTTGACAATCTTGCACATGCTAGTTAAAGGCTCATTAGCGCCGTAGTTTGTGCGAGAAGGCGGGATATTGAAAAATAATAAGAACGTAAATTTACGCGTCTGATATTGACATTCAACTGCTGCAGAAGTGAACCGCAATTAATGTCCGATCGTAGGAGATCAGCGATGAAGGTAACCTTGAGGTACACCAGAAGAAACAGCGAACGGTTGAGAAAAATGATCTCCAATTTTCACTGACATATGTCGACTATAGTCGCTATATTCATAGTCTGGCGGATAGAATCTTGGAAACCAATTGAGCTGTCAAATAGCGGAGCCAATCGAGCAAATCACGGCCAACAACAGAAAAGAGCCCATAAGCTATTGCGAACAAAACTTCGGCAACCCTTTTCTCGTGACTCAAGGCTCGCCTACGCAAACTGACACCATATTAGGGTTGGAGAAAGTTTCCCCTATCCGATGATGCCGGTAATTTGCGCTCAATTGTAGGTCTAAAATATATTAAATTGGTTCCGCTTTATGATAGATCGAAATTCTATGAATATAGCGACTATAATGTCGACCGGTGAGGTATGAGCGAAGCCAATCAAGAAGGGAACCGTGAAAACCAAATCTCGTGATTGATTTTATCAAAAGCAGCAGAAAGATCGGTGTAGATAGCATCCACTTGATGACCTCTTTCCATCTCGCGTATGATTGATGATGTGTATTGAACGAAATTTGTAGCGGTTGACCTCTTCGGTATAAATCCGTGTTGTTCAATCGCGATGTAACTAGAGCATGTGTGTTTTAAATAATCTAGCACCAATAGTTAAAAAAGTTTTGAGACTGCACCTAAAGCAACGATACCACGGTAGTTGGACACCGACTGCTTATTGCCTTTTTTGAAGACAGGAAAACAAAAGAATCCTTCTAGCAGTCGGGAAAGATCCCAGAATCCAAAGAGAGGTTGAAGATGGATGCTGAAGATGCAGCCAGCACTCGAATACAGTTCCTAATAACGGCGGCAGGGATTCCGTCAGGACCAGTGCTGAAATAATTTTTCAAACGAAGGCTTGCTCTACGAACATCATTAGTCGAGATAGGCGGATGCGGCCCAACAGCAGAAAGTACGGGAACATCACTTACGGCGGCTACGATGTGCTCGTTAGGTAAATTTTCTTTTACGAAGAACAGGTCAGCGATTCCCGTATCCGTATCTGATTCTTCTTACGGATTGTACATTGTAGAAGGTAAGCCCGATTCCTTCCGTTGATCGTTCACATGATTCCAGAAGCTCTTGGGATTTGCTTTGAGTTTAGTTTGTAGATTGCGCTAATGGGCTTGATGATATAGCTGTTTGTTGAGCCGCTTATACTGTTTGTTAACGAGGTTGTACTTCCTCTTCGATGCATCCGTTCGAAGTTTACAAAATGTCTTCAAGGCAACTCGTTTGGATGACTTCAGTCGCTTGAGTCGGTGGTTGGTCCAAGGAGAGTTACTAGATATAAGTGGAGTTGTCCTGGGTATAAACTGTGTCGCCAGTGCCGATCATTGTGCCAACTGTCTTTTTTAGTGAATAGTGAATATTTTGAATCCGATATTTTGGACAGTTCGAATGTTTGGTATGTGGACTGTGAAACGGATTCGAAGCATCAAGAGACTGGAATTGATACAAGAATTTACTTCAATTGCCACTGCTTGTTAGTGGATTTGTTAAGGTGCAGAAGCCGCTGAAGAGGACAATAGTAGGACAAAGAATAACAACGTGAAAACAACTCGGAAAGGGAGACCGCTGCCAGGGAATTGGGGAAAGTGGGTCACGAGATCGTGAAATCATTAGGCACTACGGCATTATTTCATTAGTTCGAGGTAATGCGTAGAGAACGATGAAAAGCGGTAGGCCTCCTGACCAGTAGATCTCGACTAGCAATTTTCCGTTTATTTTTCCTGAAATTTTGAAAAAGTCCCCGGTTGTCTTAAATGCGTAAAAAAAACTTCTCAGCATTTCATTTGATTGTTGAGCACCCCTAATAAAATTTTAATGGTTATTTTGCTGGTTCAGGGTATCATCAAAACCATTTAGGGAATAGTTCAATCATTTGGGTAAACGTTCGGGTATGGTATTTTTAAATAATGGATACCGTAATAAAAATACTTTAAACAAACGATAACCCAAATGATTGAACTATTCCATAAATGGTTTGGATGATACCCCGAACACGTCGTTAAGCAAATTAACCATACAATTTTTATTAGGGTATCCTTTAAGTTGAAGTGGCGTTCCGTAACCTAATTTTTTTACCTGTGCACCAACTTTCAAAACCCGATTTAATACCATATTCATACACGAATCGATTGAAAAATACAATTAATCTTCTAGTTTACTCGATATCTATCCATTGCAAGCAATATTTTGATAATTGTTTATGTTTTGAGAGTTGGTGCACAGGTAGATTGAGGTTACGGAAACGCCACTGCAACATCATTTACCTCACAGAATTCTTCTAGAATATATTTGAGATTCATTCAGGGAGTCCAGAAATTCTTTGCAGAATACTTCAAAAAATTAATGAAATTCGTCCTTAGGTACTCTTCGCATTTCAAACATTTTCGAAGAGTTCACTAAAGCATTTTTTTAAATGTATTAACATATTAATCAGAATAATCTTCTAGTTTTCCGCTCAGTACTTCTGAAAATCCACTTATTAAATTAATGAAATTCGTCCTTAGGTACTCTTCGCATTTCAAACATTTTCGAAGAGTTCACTAAAGCATTTTTTTAAATGTATTAACATATTAATCAGAATAATCTTCTAGTTTTCCGCTCAGTACTTCTGAAAATCCACTTAATTATATAGAAAATCTTTTCATGACAACCTTGAGACTATCCTCGGACTTTCCTTAATACTCTTCGAACAATGCCTTTGAAATTATACTTTCAAAATTCGATTAATACCAAGGGAATCAGAGAATCTTCCTCACAATCGTCATGGATTTTTCCACATTTACTTTTAAAAATTACTCTGAACTCACACAATTGACTATTCAAAACTCTCTTAGAGTTCATTTCAAAACTCTCTAGGATATTTTCTCTGTTATGTGTAATCACTTAACTCAAGACCAACAATTGAAATGGCCTTAACTCCATTTTGTAAACAAACCTTGTAAGGCCTGTTATGTTAGTTTGCCTTTGCGGACTTCGGTTCGCGAGAAAATGGCCTTACAAGGTTTGTTTACAACATTTCAATTGTTGGTCTTGAACTGTAAAAATCTAGTGCAGTCCAAGGGTCTTCAAATTTTGGCAAGGTCCAAAATCGACGAAGTATATATTTTCCCAATTTGTAATCAAAATACACGTTTTTTTAGAATTACCGGTTTTTCCCGGTTCACTAGTCACCTTGTCCTTCGTTTAGTGCACGTCGTATTACTCCATCACTATTGAGAAATGATGAAGTATTCAGTTTTGATACAGTTGTCATTCTTGCATTATCGTCTAATTGATATCCTGCAACAAACTTAAGCAATGGCACCTTAGCCACTTCAAACTAGGGTACAACGAATAGGATATTAGAAATCACATAGATGAAGACTACCCGCATAATCAAAAACTATTAGCAGTAACCTACTTATTGTAAGATCACCTTATACAGCATCGTGATGATTTGTCTCATCCTTCAATCAAAGTAATATTTGTGACTCACTCTTTAAGTTGCTTTAAGTGTACGATCAGCAATTATATATTTATGATATAACATACAATTAATGTACGTCTAATCGTTGCAGAATAGTACTCTATTATCAATATCCAACAATTCTGTCTGAATAAATGATGGGAAACTCCAACTGCATGATCCAGCAAAAAGTAACTATATCACTATATGGTGTGTATTCCAAGCAAAGGCATTTAGTCTCCATGCAACAAGATGACACAAATACTCCGCCAATTTTTCAACTTGCATGTTATCTGTTATCATCCGATCAAATGTTATTAAGCGGTGAGTATCAGTATTGGTGTCTTGATGTCCTGATCCGTTTTTGCTTTTCGTTGAACACCGCCATATTGAGTTAATAAAAATATGCGCAGGAGGATTCTGTTTTGTAGAAAAATAAATTGAAATAGCTATTTAATTGTCTTTCTTTTGATTTCAGAACTTCTTCCCGGACAGCATTTAAAGGATGCAGGAATAATGTTAACTTGCAAGTACTTATCGGGTATGTTATTGAGTGTGTTATTCGGATGCATTTCACTATAATCTAATTTATATTTATTTGTTGCAGTCTTTGCAGTAACGATGATCCACGGAAGCTCATCTGCAAGGTGGTCGACTGCCGCCTTGGCTCTTTGTCTAAATCAGTTCACTCCATCCCAGGAATTTATTGCTCTTTGGGGAACCAAAAAACTGCCAAAACCTGCCTCCTTCTGGCGCAACAGATCGTTTGGACCAGTCAAGCGCTGGCTACGCTTTCGGCACACTTATTTGGATTTGGATCAGTTGGGGATCGTTTAGAACGATCTTTCGCTGATCATACGGCCGTTGCTGCAGCTGAAAATAGTGCTCGATAAGATCGGTTCGATTCAGGTAGAATGTGGTCAGACGTGAAGAAGATCGATTTGAACTGAAGCTGAAGCTCGAGCTGAAGCCAGCCACAAAGAGGCGCTTGTTTTTTTTTATTTACTATGCTTTTTGCTGAACGATATCCTCTTGGAACCGTAAACTATAGGCAAGCCGGATACTTTTGTAAGTAAATAAGTAACTAAATTCATCCGGCTACCGATAAGTGCATGCAATATTAATCAATAAAACGGTTTAAAACTATATATATATATCATGTGCTTTATTTTCGAAGAAAAATTTGAAAACACAGTCGTCATGTTAAAATTCAATAACGATAAGCAATACAGTATGGCGACCAGTTCCGTTTGGACGTCCAATTATTAGTAAACGATAAACCATACCGTTTTCCAAGCTAAATATGAACTACAGATAAACCATCTGGGATGTAATATCGCTGAAAATTTGTTCGGGTAATTTATCGTTTTTGTATAGTAATTATACTTAACCGCCCTTTCAGCATATGGTAGTTTTACCAATTACCATATATGGAATAATCAAAACGATTTATGACACTGTAAGTTCATGGTTTTTTGTACGATCGCAGAAATCGTACGTTTATTGTTGGTAATTGTTCAGAATAATACGAGAAATCCTCCTTCTATGGTTCATGATTATGCGGGTAATGCCGCGGAAGACAAACTATGAGCATGAGTATTATTTGTAAAATAAATATGAGCACTATACAACAGCTATACCAAAACTATACAAGTGTGACCATGGTGCTTATAATTTATTATACAAATAATAGTCAAGTTCATAGTTTGTCATACAAGTGTATCCGGGGCATAACTAACTCATTTTTTTCTTGTTTCATGATCATCCTCGGTCAAGGCAACCCCAGAACAAACTTATCACTATTAACAAGGCATGCAAACTAACAAGATTAACTTTTGCGTGTGCTGATCTTCTACTAATAGTAAATATTATATAAATAAATTAAGTACATTTTCAATGCAGGATACTACAACAATTCTAAGTACAATTCAAAATCGGATCGAGAAAAACTTTCAACATTGGTTTTTCCAACGAAATCTCTCAATACAAACCAAACCAACCGACTGGCAACTCTGTACCGCATTTTCTCGCTTCCCTGTGGCCCTCTTCCGCAACAAAAAAAACCCCATTCCCTTGCTGTTGCTGTCTCGCTCCCGTCCGAACTTACCGTTCTCACTCACACGCAAACGGAACACCAGCGCCGAACTTCGGCTTCCGTCCCGCTCTACCGTATCACACTACACACAAAAAAAAACCTTCACTCCTCGCTCGAACTACGACGTTGCGTCCATTTTAGACACCACACAATTTTCCCCGGGATTCGCCGCGATTTCCGTGCCACGAAACGGACCCTTTATGCCGTACCGGAAGCGCAACCAACGCCGGAGGCACTTACCACGATCACGAACCACCGCACTGTAATGTTTTACGGACCGTTCCGAGAGCGAACCAAGGGCCTTCTTTGCGACACTCGATCAGAAAAAGATGTTGGTTGGTTATTACAAAAGCGCACACACGACGACGACGACGAAGAAGGCTGCGAACTCTTGCGATGATGATGTTCCACCACTTCTTTGCTGTTGGGTTTCCTCACCACTGCTTTTGACTTTTGAGCAATGTCGTGACGGGACCGAGGCGTGTCGTGGTGTGCGTGTGGTGTTTGCATTCGCCCGATCGGATGCGATTAGACGAGATTGGAAACGGCTTAGACTAGCCCGAAGGCGGTGGCGATACATCTTGCGCTGTCAAAATACAATTTGGAAGTTGAAAAGTTACAGTGTGTGTTTGGCTGGTTTTTAGAGCTCGGTGGATTCCGCTTTGATGAATAAAAATAGTTTAATGGGATCTTATTAAATCAACAAGGTAAGATAATAACTTAAGCTCCGATTATTTTTTAAATTTCAAATGGATTTTTATATTAAAATGTAATAACATTAAATTTTTACCATCAACTGACCGAACGGCATGCGATTCGCCTAGACGAAGATTTCGCTGAACGAGGGGCACAAAACATGTAATGAATTCAATTTAGACCAGTGCAAATTATATACACGGAAACTTTCATATCCTCATATTTAATTAAAATTTAATCACTTTTTTAAATCTCCCAAATCTCCTTTCTTCTGCAGAGTAACCCGCATAAACGCGAACCATAAATTGACCTTACCTAAAATGGTTAAAAATTGTTTATAATCCCTGCTAAACTTTAACTGAAACGGTTATGGAACTTTACATGAACGTTTAATGATAAAGTTTCAACCTTATGTATTATCGTTTTTTGGAACTGGACCTTACAAATAATGGGTTGTTAAGAACCATTACCGTTCCAAATTCTTGTTTTCTCCATACATTTTCGGAAAGAGAACTATATTAGAACCTTTTAACTTATGGTTTGAGAACTTTAATGGTAATGGTTATGGTAGTCAGTAAGGTCCACGAATGGTTTTGTAACATCGATCAACTTTAAGTGGAATATATCGCGAATTGGTTGCCTGTAAATTACTGATTACCAATTCACGATATATTCCACGTAAAGTTGAGCGATAATACAAAACCATTAATGGACCTTACTGACTACCATAACCATTGCCATTAATGTTCTCAAATCATAAGTAAAAACGTTCTTATATAGTTCTCTTTCTGAAAATGTATGGAGAAAACAAGAATTTGGAATGGTAATGGTTCTTAACAACCCATTATTTGTAAGGTCCAGTTCCAAAAAACCATAATACATAAGGTTGAAACTTTATCATTAAACGTTCATGTAAAGTTCCATAACCATTTCAGTTAAAGTTTAGCAGGGATTATAAACAATTTTTAACCATTTTAGGTAAGGTCAATTTATGGTTCGCGTTTATGCGGGAAACCCGCAAATACTCAATATAATGAATGAGATAGTTGAGTATATTGTATTTTGCATTTGAAACTGGACTCCTCAGAATTGCGTTATCGCTTATAAAAGTGGGTTTGTTGTATCGTCTTGGTGTTCTCGGCGCACTTATTCCTTATAAACCAAGGGATAAGTGCGTCGAAGACACCTGAACGAATGAACCTAAAAGCGCGTTTGAAAAAAGCTAAACTTTAAGCATCTCGATGACTGTTTCCACTTTGTTAGGCTGTGCTGTCAAGCTGAAAATTGGAAGATTGATGACCAAAAAATTAATCCCATTTCACGGTTTCCCATTTTCTTGATTATTTTATTAGCTTGATATAGGGAAAATGACTCTCATGTTGGCCTATGGATCTAAGGTTCAGCCCATCGCTAAAAATCTGCTATTTATCAATTTTATCTAGATAAACGCGTCATCGGACGATATTTTTGGTCGCTATTGAAAATTTCGTCGACACTGATGCAAATAAACTTAAGAATTTCATAAGGCTCGACTTATGAACGTCACATATGAATTTCACAAACGTGACTTCTGAATGATTTTCGTCTAACATGAGGTAGCTCTTAAGTGGACCCTACACGATTGCTTTTATTGACAATAATCGTATTGTCAATACATTATTTATTGACGTCAATACATCGAGATTGACAATATTTCTGAATTCACATCATCAATATTATTGCCAATAATTCTCCTTCGCGTCAATATATTGAGACGTGTGGGGTTCGCTTTATACGCCTTTAACCATTTTATTATCCCAAGCATGCAAAGATCAACACATGAAATTATTTTTCATAAGGCAAAATAATGAAATTCATACCGATTTCTTGTGGCTAAAATTCAGTGTACATTATGCATCACTAAATATTAACAAAAAAGTGTTTTTTGCCGTGAAGTTGATGAGAAAACATCATACGCCCTTATAATTTCTTACATGTTGTTACCCCTCCAAATCTTCAACGCTTTGAACTGCCAACACTGGTCATACGCCGTGGAAAAACACCAACGGGATGTTTTGTTTGTTGTTCCGCCTTGGTTCTTCGTTCGCAAATCTTGTGAGTGGAATCCCGGAGATTTTTTGATTTTCCTTTTGTTCGTTGTTTACATAGCACGTGTATGTCGGATCGGAACGGCTCAAAACGGCGTCTGTTCTCCATGTTAGGAGCGGCTGATCACCGTCCTAGTGCCAGCGTGCGACTCTAAACAGAGCTGTGCACGATGGTCCCCCGGCGAGACAGGGGGTTGGGACAAGCCCAACAAGCCGCCCTGAAAAAAAAACAAAGTTGCAAATACTGAAGAAAGAAATACGGATCGGAACAATCGGCACAGAAACTCGCAACATGGAACTGTAAATCGCTCGGCTTCCCGGGTTGCGATAGGTTAATCTATGACGAACTTCAACCACGCAACTTCGAAGTCGTAGCACTTTAGGAACTTTGCTGGACGGGACAACATATATGGAAAAGCGGGCATCGAGCGGCTACTTTCTACCAGAGCTGTGGCACCACCAACGAGCTGGGAACCGGCTTTGTAGAGCTGGGTAAGATGCGCCAACGCGTGATTGGTTGACAGCCGATCAACGCGAGGATGTGCAAGTTGAGGATTAAGGGCCGTTTCTTCAACTACAGTATCATCAACGTGCACTGCTCACACGAAAGGAGACCCGACGACGAGAAAGAAGCGTTCTATGCGCAGCTGGAGCAGGTGTATGACGGTTGTTCGCAACGGGACGTCAAAATCGTCATCGGCGACATGAACGCTCAGGTAGGACGGGATGCAATGTATAGACCGGCAATCGGGCCAAACAGCCTGCATGCCGTATCGATCGACAACGGCTAACGATGCGTGAACTTTGCAGCCTCTCGGGGTTTGGCAGTTTGAAGTACCTTTTTCCCCCGCAAGGATATCCACAAAGCCACCTGGAGATCACCTGAACAACACACAGAAAACTAAATCGATCACGTTCTAATCGACGGGAAATTGTTCTCCGACATTATCAACGTCCGCACGTACCGCATTGCGAACATAGATTCGGACCACTACCTAGTTGCAGTATGCAGGCGTTCAAAACTCTCAACGGTGCATGTCGAAGTCGAACGTCGCGACCCAACATTGGGCAACTACGGGACGCCGGAGTTGCCCAGGACTACGCGCAGCAACTGGAAGTTGCACTACCCACGGAAGAGCAGCTTGGTGCAGCTTCTTTCGAAGATGGCTGGAGGGACATCCGTTCCGCCATAGGTAGTACTGCTGTTGCGGCACTAGGTACTGCAATCCCGGACCGAAGAAACGACTGGTTTGACGGTGAATGCAAACTGTTAGTAGAGGAGAAGAATTCAGCACGGGCGAGAATGCTGCAACACCGTACGAGATTGAATGTGGAGCGATACAGACAAGCGCGGGATAGACACGAGTGGCACGATATTCAGGAAGTCCATCCAGCTCCTTGGCTTCACCGATGACTTTGACATTATGGCACGGAACTTTGAGATGATGGCGGAAACGTACATCAGACTGAAGGCTGAAACTAGACGGATTGGACTTGCCATCAACGCATCAAAGCAAAATACATGAAAGGAAGAGGTTCTAGGGAAGACAATGTTAGCCTCCCACCCCGAGTTCAGATTGACGGTGACGAAATCGAGGTGGTCGATGAGTTCGTGTACTTGGGCTCACTGGTGACCGCCGAAAATGATACCAGCAGAGAAATTCAAAGACGCATTATGGCAGGGAATCGTGCCTACTTTGGACTCCGGAGGACGCTCCGGTTGAATAAAATTCGTCGCCCCACGAAGTTGACTGTCTACAAGACGCTGATTAGACCGGTGGTCCTTTACGGCCACGAGACCTGGACTATGCTCGTGGAGGACCAACGCGCCCTTGGTGTTTTCGAACGGAAGGTGTTGCGTACCATCTACGGTGGAGTGCAGATGGAGGACGGGACGTGGAGGAGGCGAATGAACCACGAATTGCACCAGCTGCTGGGAGAACTATCCATCGTCCACATTGCAAAACTTGGGCGACTACGGTGGGCTGGGCACGTTGTAAGAATGCCGCACGACGACCCAGTGAAAATGGTTCTAGAAAGCGACCCAACAGGAACAAGAAGAAGAGGCGTGCAGCGGGCAAGGTGGATCGACCAAGTAGAAGGTGACCTGCGGACCCTTCGCAGACTACGAGGCTGGCAAAGTTTCATCATGGATCGAGTAGAGTGGAGACGACTTCTTCGGACAGCAGAGGACAACAAGGCCTTAGCCTGATTGCATGCATGCATACATTGGCCATTCAAGCTCCGGATACCACCGGGGAAAATTAAAGTCGCATGAAAATTCAAATGCATGATCTTTTGCATCGAACATGTTCCAAGTGCTCCCTGTCGAAAATCTGCCATGAGGCCCAAATAGGGGAAGAGGGGCATAGTAAACAGGTGGGGCATAGAGAGCTTTCTGTACTTTAGCCTTGGATTTCTCATGGTTCGAAACTATGCCCTATCATTCATAAATATATTTTTACGGAATTTAAATAAGTAAGAAGGGTCAAATAGGTGGATACATTCTGGTTTTCAAGGATGATTTTCCATTTTTTTTTATGGATCAATTCGAATGGTACCATTTTAGGGCTATCACTTGATTGACTGTTTTCAAATAGAATATAAACTCTAGGGAGGGTCTAGCATAAGAGAAGAGCGGATTAAAAAAGAACTGACTTGGCAACCTAAGATTACTAGCAACGGCTCGATTGGCTCTGGCTTTGACAGTTCGTTTGGCTCAACAACAGCCAGTTCGCTTCTCTCTTATACTAGACCCTCTCTAATAAACTCCCGAAGAACCCATCTGAAGAGGCACTTGCAAGTTAAGATCTATGCTTTCGGATATTTCACATACAACTGAAAACATCAGGTGAGTAATTTTTCGATAACAACAAATTGTATTTGTTTTACAGGGCCATTTCAACGGCTCCGATGATGATATATTTTACACATATCGTACGTCGACCAATCGAATTCAAGGTTTGGATATAAAATACTTAACATAAAACAATACTTTCATCACTAAAATTATTCATCTCGCTTGATTCTAAGCCTTCCTGTATGAAAAGCAATCTCGCTTGTTCATCGTGCATACATTTCCCACTCATCCATCGCTACACCTAAGTTGAATAATTTGCATTGATACATGACTATTACGCGTTCGTTAGTTTTATGATATTTTAATTTATCTGTTATCGACAACTTTTAAAAGCAGTCTCGTATAACTCCTAATATAGTTAGTAACTAAAAGTAAATATCACTTTTGTTTGCATTTTTTCACTTGAAATATCTGAAACTTAAAAGAAAATTATAACTTTCCTTTCATTCCTAGCACTCTCAAATCGCTACACAGTGGCATAACTTCTAAGGTTAAAGCTAATGGTAATGTGGTTGCAGTTTTTCTTCTTTGTGCCAAATTATAAAACAAGGAACGGATACGTGAGAGAGGGGTTCATTGAGCTGCGATAGCCAGCGCAGCAGCTGCAGCCGTTTGACTTCTGGTCCGCAGCACTGGCGGTAGGAACGCTTTGTTGACACACTCGATATTGGCTCGGCAAAGTGGACAGCGATCGCATCTGTGGATAGAAGGAGATAGTTGGATGTTAGTATTTGATTGCGATAACAATCTTGAAGGGGTTGAACTTACTGTTCTGCGCATTGTCGGCAGGCAGCGATGTGTCCACAGGGAAGGAACATCGTGTCCATCATGTTGTCGACGCAGATGATGCAGGTAACCGCTTCGGTTATCCGCTCTTCGACTAGCCGTTCGAGTTTGTCGCTTTCTTCGGCTTCATCGGCGAGCTGTTGATCCAGCTTGCTGGCCTGAGCCTGAGGACATTCCTTTTGTACCTTGCTGATTTCGATACCGCGGGCATGCAGGATTCGCCGGGAGTTGTCATACACCTCCCGACAGGTTCGCTGGATGTCGAATACGTAGCGTTTGCCGAGTTCGGTGTCTTCGTTGAACATCGATACAATCGTACCCTTGAGATCACGGATAAACTGGGTGGTAACCACCGGTCGAACAGTTTCGCACGAGTAGAAAACGTGTTTCTCGGTAATGGCCCGGTAGAGACAGGCTGCCGTACGATGGTTCGGGAGCTTCAGTTCGATATGGGTTTCCTCGTGCTCTTCGTTCATGTAGGTCAGCCGGAACGATCGCTTGATCGATTTGGCGGCCTTAACTGCAGTAAATGGAACGCTGTAGGGGAGAAAGCAATGTGTGTTTTTGTTAATCAGCTGGTCATCTTTTGCGGTTGGTAAAAGATTGAACTTACCTATATTTTTGATCGTCCTTGGCGATGGTTAGGCCATGAGGGCTCACACCGATTTTACAGCGTACCGAAGGCTCAATGATGGTAAGACCTTCGAACAGCTCTTCGCCGTATCCGTTCAGGGTTGAGATTTCTTCGAGCAGCCAATACTGGGCAGAGGTAGCAGTCATCTTGATCTTGGTTAAGGTTTCGTGTTCCTTTGCGATCATCTGGATGAAATTCTCCGGCATTGGTTCCGGTTCAATATCTTCGAACTTTGGCCTCACAATATAGCTCTGGTAGATGTTCTTTGGTATCGTTTCGGAAATCGTATCGTCCATCGTAACAGTCGATGCGATGCTTCCTCGTTTGACATCACTTTCCGAACACTTCCGCTTCGAAGGTCGCCTCAGCTGACGACGATCGATCGTGTTCAGTGGACTCCCTCGCTCCAGACCGGTTAGGTTGGCAAAGACCTTGTTCGGATCGTACAGATAACCGTCAGCCTGTAGCAACAATGCAGAAACGTGCGCGGCATTTTCCCAGCTTGATGGACTGATGTGTCCGTCTAGTAATTCCTGTCGTGCTTGCATGTAGAACAGCCTCTTGACGCTGTCCTGTAGGATTAAATGCGCTGGTACCCAGAACTTGACGCGCAGCGAAAGCAGAATCGGATGGTTGCGATCGTTGGCATGGAGACTCAAAGGATTTCGTAAGTTGATCCACTGCTTGGCGCTGCATTCGTCCACCTCGGCACTGTCTCCATCCCGTACCGGAATCAACCCGAAGTAATCAATCTCGCAGATGATACCGAGGTCGTTGCAAACCTGAAATTTTTCAACAAAAAGAAGAATATTTGTTAGTAAAAATGCCGGTCAATGTCTCATGGCTTGGAAGCAAGTCGGTTGGTTATCGAAAGTACAAGCCCACGGATTTAGGCTATCTAAAGCCCGTAGTTCGAATCATGGCGCGGCATTTCTAACGGACGGAATTCCCAGGTCGGGGGTAAAACCTAAGCAGTGCTATTCACGCGACTTAACTGGCTTTGGCTTCTATTTGCAATAAACACACACACGGTGATAAAGCAGGTTCTATTTTTACTTGGTCAAAAAATACGGCATTAACCGCTTCACAGTCGACCTTGCTGAAGACGGGTGGAATAGGTGTTAGTGGGTCGTTCGTAATGATAGAATATTTCTCTTAGTCGCGTAGGCCTTGGGCGAAGAGTAATTCACAGGTGAAAGTTTTTGATCATAGTAAGCATTTCAAATACTTCTTCCTGATGACCTAACCTAGAGCCGGTTTTTCGACTCTTGACTCTCTTTTTATATTGAACGATGGTCACAAATATGGGAGCAAATATTGATCACTTTGTTTGGTTATCATTTTCACAACGCTGGCTGATAAGTTGTGTGCCGTTCCTAGACGGAGAGATAGCACCCTCAGAAAATCGAGCAAGCAAATTGAAGGAGTGAACATGATAAGCTAAAAATGAGTGTTTGCTTTGACACAATCTTGTTTGATTACCAATTCGTCGCTAGCGTCGATGGTTCTCTCTCTCTCTCTGTTGTCGTCTTGTCTGTTGTTGTTCGAATATGAATTGCCATTGCCTTCTTTCCAGTTGATGTGAAATGTTAATTGACCTTGCAAAAAGGTTCTCCTGGAAAGCACATTCCATCTAGTGCTAATTGCATATTAGCATAGTGTCTGTTTCATTGGAAACAAAATGCGCTGAAACCTCCGCAGAAATCGTCGCCATAGGGATTTGCCTCCAAAGAAACAGACGCAAAATTAAACAGTTTTTTCTCCAGAAAACTCTCTTTGTTGGTTGTGCAATCAGCTGTATTTGACCTGGCATTGACTGAAATGGCTATATAATCATCTTTCAAACAAAGCAATGACGAAGGACGTAAACAAAGAAGCTGAAATCCGTCGAATCTTACATTCAATGACATTGTTCATCCGAATTTTTTTACCGTAAATATAAACGAACCCACGCTCAGCATAAGAAAATATAAAGGTCCAATAGTCCAAGCTGCCGTGAAATACGAAAGGAGAGCGGCTCGACGAGGTAGCGTGTGCCTCTCAAACACACGATGGCCCATAATTTGAATATATAATAAGCCGTGGGCAGAAACTACGCCACATCAATCGACCGCCATACATGCAATGAAGCATGCTCGTGTCAATAATCATTTTGTTTTCGGGAAACGTAATCGATGAGCGGGGTCTAGTTTCGAATGGCTAATAGCATATGTATTGGCTCCACCAATTCGGATTGGGGTTCTAAACCGTTTTCGAATTAGTAGCAACCTGTAGCAACCATAGAATATTAATGCCAAAGTGACATTGTTCCGTGGGCTCCGAATTAATGTAAGCCATTGGTGCACGGTTTCTGTTGTCATAAAAATGTGCTTATTTTATAAATACAGCAAGTAAACAAATACAAACGCAGCTAGGCATTCGATGAAGCAAAACCGGCTTGCGAATTTTCACATATGATGATGGATCAATTAAACAAACCATTCGTTTGTTTGTTTGTGTTGCCTTCCTGCTCTGGTGCCGGTGGTTATCGCATGGGGCCTCCTTTTCGCTCGCGATCTACAGGTGGTGGTTTTTAGTGATGTACGTTGGGATCCCGGTAGGGTGGTTGTGAGTTTGGTAATGATCATTTTCTTGTACTTTTTTGTTGTTGTTGTTGCAGATATGCTGGTACTTGTGGACTGGAATATCGATGAAGTTGAAGCTCAGAATGCGATACTAGTTGCCAACCTGTTTTAATGAATTTTCTGTTGCAGTGTGTGGAAGATCAACAAGCCGTTAACTTGTTTGGCAAATGTGAACCTCTGAATTTAAAGTTAATAAATGACGCCCGGAAAAAAGACACATGCTGCATGGATTAGATCGTGTTCAGTGTGATTTAAAAAAACAACCAGGAATGATGTTGAAATCAAGGTAGATATTGAAGCACCTTATTGATTTTGTTTTAATTCAATTAATTGTGTTATAGGTCGCCCTCGATGGTCACTGGAAGCTATGTCAAACTGACTACGAAAGTTATCCTTAGGATGCAGAGTTAATTGTTTATAGATTCCCCGATTTTCTACAAATATTTAGAGTTACGCCAGAGACTGTGTAAGAAATTTGTTCTAGTTTGTACAACCCATGTAGCACAGAACTACGGTTTAAATGCCATCTTTGAACTATCATATTGTACTTATTCAAGGCAGGAAATAGTACACGCAAAATGTATCAGTATGATTTAAAATCAATCAGAAATGTTTTTAAAATCAAGGTAGATACTGAAGCACCTTATAGACATTGTTTTCATTAAATTAATGTTTTTACAGGCCGCCGTTGATGACCACTGGAAGTTGTGGCAAGCTGATTACTAAAGCCCCTCTTAGGATGGAGAGTAAATTGTTTATAGATTCCGGATGTCCGATTTTCTACACATATTTAGAGTTTCGCCCGCCCTGCGCTTCGGTCAGAGAGCGTATAGAACGTCGTTGTGCCAATTTGGTCGTGGCACATTTCGAGTATGAGAGAGTAATTGCAGTTAGATCAAAAGTGCCTGAGAAAAATGCAAATACTTTCGCAGATTACCAGAAGTTGCGATAGTGAAGGTATGATCACAGACAAGCAGACATAACACTCTTAAAACCTTCATAGAAATCGTTTTAACGGTTAATTCAAATGTTTCTTAGTCGGTAGTACCGCCACTTGTGGTGCACATAATCAATTCCCTAGCGTTTGACGTTTACATACTACAACCATCTGTTGAGTGTATTGCACATGAAAGTATATACAACAGATGGTGGTAGGGTTTACAATGATAAGTGTTCAATGTGTTGTGTCTGCTTGTTTGTGAAATAACATGGAGGTAACGTTAGGATAAAATCAAAACATTGAGAAATATAACGCATCACTTTCAGAAATATTTCACTTCGCAACCGATGAACCATTCTGACGGCCATATGAGTACCCAAGTAACCATATAGTCGCAATATAGCTTGTATATTCTTACTTTGCTTGACTATGGTTAGTTGAGGAATCTGATTAAACTGTCACTTCTTGAAACTGATCGCTTTTGAATTTCTTTCATTTTCTTTTCGCACACGGAGCGCTCGGTAGAACAGCGACTTTGGATGTGAGCCTCGTCCCAGATCACCATGGCAATTCATTTCAATTCAATGAAACCGACCAAAAAAGGCGTAATCATATTAGAACCAACCAAGGACGATCTACGGAAGGAAATTGCTGGTGAAGCACGGAATGAAATACGAAGCGTTAGAGAAAAAGTCCAAGGGATTCCAAATGAAGTAATCAACGACGGCGGAAAAGCAGAATATGGTGAGAGCTTTCCAATTATTAAAAAAAATATATATCAAAATTAAACTAAATACATGCCAGGTTTGAAAAAATATGTTTTCGAACCTGGAAGCGTGTATGTAATACCAATATCCATTTGATAACGGTGATGCATACATGCGGGGCTTATTGTAAGTGAAAGTAACCTCGGAATGGGCGTGACTCTCCAGACATTCTGAAATGGGTTGCTGTATCTGCAATAGAGCTATCACCTTCTAACTCCCGGACTAAAGCTGTCTACAATGACCATAAATGCGACATTGTAGGGAGAGTTCTTCCATAATACCACTGCCGGCCAGTGGGGGTTAGATGGAATACACACACACATATTTAGAGTTTCGCCCGAGAAAGTGTAAGACGGTTAAAAGCCATGTTCGGACTATCATATTGTACCAACTCATGCATTAGGATTTTACCTATGACAACAAAGACCATGAATGGGACGTGATGAGATATCTCCATCTGGTCTTATTGTCTTCCAAAGATCTTCAATCAGGTTGATTCATCCTGCTACAACAAACCATCAGACAGCACTTTTGTTCCGGTGAAGTATCTGTAGACATAGGTAATCTTTGCACTGCTGTTTCACATCACATCATGACATAGAAATCCGGAAATACTGTCAACTCAACAACGTAAGCTTTTGAAAATAATATCGCCGATGTGCTTTACAACAAAAGCTATGATGTAAAGCTTTCATTGATAACGCTACTGCTACAGCTTCAAAATTGTCATAACATAAAGCTTAAGCTGGTGAAAAGCTGTTTTTTAAACAAAAAAAGTATGAGAGTTTGTGCTTAGGGACTTTAACGGAAGCTTGACATAGGACCGTGATAGGTTGGTGCATTTGTTTTTGGGTTTGATTCTTTTAATAATTGTTCTTTTGAATCTGTAATTTCAACTCTATAATTTTTTGAAATGGTGTCCCTAAAAAGGACCTTCTGTTATTTTATGGATTGTTGCAGCGTTAAAAAGGGTCCAGAATGATTAGGTAATAATGCTTTTGGACAGGGCAATCTCGCTTTTGCTGGGATCTGTAATCAAGGCAAGTTTTTTTTACCTTATTACTATTAAGATAATTGTTTCAACAAGCTATATACGAAATGGAATGCCGTGGGCATTGGCAAAACCGTGAGGTAGCTTAAAAACTACCAGGTCTCAGGGCTTATCTGGATTTTTACCCAAATGGGAAAGATACACACCAGTGTTGCCAGGAGTGACGTGGACCACAAGTTCATTTGAACCCTCTAGTAAGAGCATATTAAATTTTAAATCTTAAACAATCAAGTACAATGTTAATTTTATTGTGCTGTAATGTACATTACACGTTTAATTGCATTTGCATATTTTCAATCAGTGATGGATCGCTATTTTAGGACTTTTTCATTACTTTTTGATATAGAATGCTTACGTTAAATCCAATTGAATTTTCAATAAGGTTAAGTGATGGTCAGGC